TATATATCCAGGAGGATTTTGTGCATAGAAGAAATACTCATTCATGTGTATGGTTTAGCGTTCCACTGACCAAACTCCTATACCTCTCACAATCGGCTTTCTCTCAGCATCTAAACGCTAGCGATGTGGTTAACTGGATATCTAGCGTGACTGATTCTTCTCAACTCCTTCCTCTTAACGTGGGCACAGATCAGGATTTCAGAGGGACTGGGATGGCGCAAGCTGATCGATTTCTGATTACTTACAGGGAGGCACCAACTGCCATTCAAACAGAAACCTTGACCATTAAGTGGAGTCTCTCTTTAAATCAGAGTAGTAGGGGCCAGCACCCTGGCGCAGAGGGTAAGGCTGTGGCTTGAGTCGCCGGCACCCCACACATGAGCCAGTTCAAGTCCTGGTGGCTCAGTCCCGTGCTAATGCACCTGGGGAAGCAGTGGAGGAAGGACCAAGCGCTGGGGTCCTTACCACCCACGTGGGAGTGATGTAGGCTGGCAGATAGGATAAAATCGATCAGATTTGTGAGCTGGAAGACCACGCCCCCAGCATGATCTCATGCCCCTACCTGATCCCACCTGTACGCGTACCTGCCAATTAGACTACGTAACCACGCCCCCTTTGGGAGTAAATAAAAGGTCCAGAACACGTGGGTCCTTCGATGGTCGGGGCCACGGGCCCGTGGGCTTCTGGCCGCCGGCTCTCTACTTTCCTGCCTGCATGCTCCCTCCACCTGCTTGTGGCCGCTCTCTGCCTGGTAGGGACCCAACGTGGCTTCTGGACCTGTCTCTCCCCCCTAGTGAAAGCCTTCACTTTCCTGTGTATTTCTCTCATTGAATAAAAAGCTTAAAAACTTACCATGCTGCCTGGGCTACTTGAGCCAGTATTTAGAATTCTTCTCTGAATAAGAACCCACAGGGTTATTAATATTGAAAATTGTTAATAGCAGGACAATATCAGCAGGTCCAGAGGAGCTCCTGGCTCCTGGCTTTGGCTGTTGCAGCCATCTGGGGAGTGAACCAGTGGCTAGAAGCGCTCTCTCTCTCTCTCTTTCTCTCCCCCCTTCTCTCTGTAGCCCTGCTTTCAAACAAATAGCTTAAAAATGTTTCAGGAACTGATAAGTGTCCCTTTGCCATTGAGATTTTTTAAAAAATATTTATTTATGGGGCCGGTGCCATGGCTCACTAGGCTAATACTCCACCTGTGGCGCCAGCACACTGGGTTCTAGTCTTGATTGGGGTGCCATATTCTGTCCTGGTTGCCCCTCTTCCAGGCCAGCTCTCTGCTATGGCCCAGGAGGGCAGTGGAGGATGGCCCAAGTGCTTGGGCCCTGCACCCCATGGGAGACCAGGAGAAGCACCTGGCTCCTGCCTTCAGATCAGTGTGGTGCGCCAGCCTCAGCGGCCATTGGAGGGTGAACCAACGGTAAAGGAAGCCCTTTCTCTCTGTCTCTCTCACTGTCCACTCTGTCAAAAAAAAAAAAAAAAGAAAGAAAGAAAGAAAAAAATATTTATTTATTTGAAAGGCAGAGTTACAAAGAGGCAGAGAGAGACAGAGAGAGATTTTCCATCCACTGGTTCACTCCCCAAATAGCTGCAATGGCCAGGACTGAGCCAGGCCAAAGCCAGGAGCCAGGAGCTTCTTCCCAGTCTCCCATGTGGATGCAGGGGCCCAAGCACTTAGGCCATCTTCTACTGCTTTCCCACGTGCATTAGCAGGCAGCTGGATTGGAAGTGGGGCAGCTGGGACTCGAACCGGCACCCATATGGGATGCCAGCGCTGCAGGCAGAGGTTTAGACTACTATGCCACAGCACTGGTCCTGGAATTGTGATTGGATTTAAGAAATCTTATTGCTATTTTGAATATAATATTTGTCCCCATAATCTTTAGATTATGATTGTGAATACAGAGAAAAAGATTTTATATATTCATTTTGTATTCAGCTCTCTTATTTGAGAATCTTTGGGAAAAAAATTCAAGTGTCTCAGATATGCAAAGTAGAAAGTTGTCACCAACGCCACAGAAGGGTCGTGAACCACACAGGAGGTGTGTGTGTTCTTTTCTAGTGTTTATGCTTCTTTGCTTACTGCATTCGTTAGGATTCCAAGACAAAGTTGAATACATAGTAGTAGATACCAGCCCTGCACACCCCCAATTCAGTTGAAATGGTTTTTATATTTTGCCATTTATAATAATATTTACTAATGTCTTCTGTCGCTCCCCCTCTTCGTGGAGGAACGACACAGGACCCTGTGCTGTTCTTTTGTCTGCTCGGCCCTCCCCGGGTTTGCTGCTGGTTCTTCCCGGGTTGGCTACCATCCCTTCCACCTCCGTGGAAGGGCGGTTCCCCCTGCCACTTTCCCCGCTTCCGCGGGGGAGCGGCACACCGCCGGCCGGCTCTCTCGGGGGCTGCACAGGTGTTCCTTCAGATAGATGTTCCTGGTGCATGTTGTCTCTCTCCTCCTTTATAGTCCTCTTCCACCAATCCAGCTCTGCTACCACACGCCGAGTACGCTGCTCTCCTCTATCAGAGCAGTCCTACAGTTATTGCTGACTGAGCAGCTGTGTAGAGCTGTTCTCTCTCCAGCGCATATGGGGAGAGCAGATGCATAGAATAAGTCTACTCAGTACTAGTCTAGTCCGAGTTGCTCCCAGTTGCTCCCCACAGTCTTCTATAAAAATTCTTTTCTTTTTTAAAGATTTATTTTATTTATTTGACAGAGTTACAGACAGGTAGACAGAGAGAGAGAGAGAGAGGAGAGAGAGATTTCCATCTGCTGGTTCACTCCCCAATTGGCCGCAATAGTTGGAGCTGCACTGATCCAAAGCCAGGATCCAGGAGCTTCCTCTGGGTCTCCCATGTGGGTGCAGGGGCCCAAAGTCTTAGGCCATCTTCTACTGTTTTCCCAGGCCACAGCAGAGAGCTGGATCTGAAGTGGAGCAGCCAGGACTCGAACCAATGTCCATATGGGATGCCGGCACTGCAGACGGCGGCTTTACCTGCTTCACTACAGCACCAGTCCCAAAATTTCTTTTCTACACTTCAATATATTTATTATTGTTTTACTTAATATTTTAATGACTGAATCCCATGAAATTCTTTTCAGCATCTACTGGTCTATGTAAGACTTTATTTCTCCTCTTTTCTTTCTTTCTTTTTTTATTTTTTGACAGGCAGAGTGGACAGTGAGAGAGAGAGACAGAGAGAAAGGTCTTCCTTTTGCCATTGGTTCACCCTCCAATGGCCGCTGCAGCCGGCGCACCACGCTGATCCGATGGCAGGAGCCAGGTGCTTCTCCTGGTCTCCCATGGGGTGCAGGGCCCAAGCACTTGGGCCATCCTCCACTGCACTCCCGGGCCACAGCAGAGGGCTGGCCTGGAAGAGGGGCAACTAGGACAGAATCTGGCACCCCGACCGGGACTAGAACCCGGTGTGTCGGCACTGCAGGTGGAGGATTAGCCTAGTGAGCCGCGGCACCGGTCTCTCCTCTTTTCAAAAACACTTTTTCAGGGGCCCGGCGCTACGGTGTAGCAGGTAAAGCCTCTGTCTGCAGCACCAGCGTCCCGTGTGGGTGCTGGTTTGAGACCTGGCTGCTCCACTCCCAATTCAGCTCCTTGCTACATGCCCAGGAAGTCAGCAGAAGATGTCCCAGGGGCTTGGGCCCCTGCCATCTGTGTGGGACACCCAGAAGAAGCTCCTGGCTCCTGCCTTCAGTCTGGCCCAGCCCTGGCCGTTGTGGCCATCTGGGGAGTGAACCAGCAGATGGAAGAGCTCTCTCTCTCCCTCTCCCTCTCTCTCTCTGTAACTCTGACTTTAAAATGTAAATAAATCTTAAAAAAAAAAAACCTTTTATCATTCTATTTGCCTTCTGAAAGCTGGGCTGCCTGGATGCTATCATCCCTTCCTTTTCTTTCTTTCTTTCTTTCTTTCTTTCTTTCTTTCTTTCTTTCTTTCTTTCTTTCTTTCTTTCTTTCTTTCTTTCTTTTTATTTGGATTTAGTTATTTATTTGAAAGGCAGTTGAGAGAGAGAGAGAGAGAGGCAGAGAATCTTCCATCTGCCAGTTCTCTCCCCAAATGGTTGCAATGGTCGGAGCTGGCCCAGTTTGAAGCCAGGAGCCAGGAGCTTCTTCTGGATCTCCCATGCGGGTGCAGGGGCCCAAGGACTTGCGCCATCCTCTGCTGCTTTCCCAGGTGCATTAGCAGGGAGCTGGATCGGAAGTGGAGCAGCCGGGACTCGAACCGGTGCTCACATTGTAGCAGGATTCGTGTACTGACTCAAGACACCAAGGCCTATTAACAGGAAGCGGTCTTTTATTATGCCGGCATAAGGCCCAGGTGGAATTCTTATCCAAAATCCTGAGCCCTGAACAAAGAAGGTTTTTTTCCCCCCTTATATATGGTTTTAAGCCTCTTTGTCTCCCTTAAATGGTCACATGCATGCATTTGATTGGCTGTCCTAATGTTCCATGGTGGCCACAGGAATTGGGGGTGGAGTTCCTGAGGATGCTCCAGCCGCCGGGCCAGGGTTAAGGCCGCTGCTCTGTGCCAGCCAGCGGAACCGGAAATGGCGACATAGACGCAGACAGGGACTCAGCCAAAGCATCACAGGCAAGCACCTTTCATTCCGGGACAGCCACCTCCCTCCTGCTCTGACCTCGCGACGGCTCCGCCGCCTGTAGCCACGTCAGTTAGCAAGGAGTCTCAGGAAGAGACAGAGGCCTCTCCACGGCGCGGGAGCTGGCGCCGCGCGCGGCAGCCGCACCTGCTCTCAAACACCTCGCATGAACTTTGACCCAGTCTACGTGGGTACTCGTTAGACGCTGAGAAGGGACCCAGATGCACAGACCCAGGGGCTGCTTGGACCCCAGAGTGAATTCCAGCCTCAACACGGGATTTCCCGGTGCGTTGTTCTCTTGGTGCTGGAGGATTAAAAATTCCTACTTATTTTTTGATGAAGGAAAACACCTGATTGCCCCCTGAGAAAGTAACCTAGGTTTTTCAAAATTTCAAAGCATCTGTATTTTTTTCAATTATAAAATGATGAGCCCTCCTCCTCCACAGAACAGAAATGCAGGAAGGGAGAACAAAAGGTCTTTGGGGCTGGGGCGAGGGCGGGATCTGCAGAGCTGGTGGCCCTCCCGGGGAGGCCACGCCACGCTCGCTCGCTCGGTCACTACAGTCACTACGCTTGAGGCTGAGTTTGCTGGAGGCATCCTACAAATCGCTCAGACTCCAGACCTGTTGAGAGAAAAAGAGAAATTAGGGGAGCTGTGTTGTGGCAGAGGGTAAAGCTGCCCCCAAGATGCCAGCCTCCATGTGGGTGCCAGTTCCAGTCCCAACTGCTTCACTTCCCATCCAGCTCCCTGCTGATGCACCTGGGAAAACAGTAGAAGATGCCCCAAGTGCTTGGGCCCCTGCACCCGCGTGGGAGACCCGGATGGAGCTCCTGGTCCTGACTGTGGTCTGGGCCAGCCCTGGCCGTTGTGGCCATCTGGGGAGTGAACCAGTGGGTGGAAAACCTCTCTCTGTCTCTCCCTCTCTCTCTGTAACTCTGCCTCCCAAATAAATAAATAAATATCAAAAAACAAAGAGAGGGGTTGGCAGTGTGGCAAGGCAGGTAAAGCCGTGGCCTGCAGTGCCAGCATCCTACATGGACACCAGTTCGTGTCCCGGCTGCTCCACTCCGATCCAGCTCCCTGCTGTGGCCTGGGAAAGCGGTGGAAGATGCCCCAAGTGCTTGGGCCCCTGCACCTGCGTGGAGACCTGGATGAAATTCAAGGCTCCTGGGTTTGGTCTGGCCCAGCCCTGGCTGTTGTGGCCATTTGGGGAGTGAACCAGTAGCTAAAATACTTCTCTCTGTCCCTCCCTGTCTCTCTCTGTGACTCTGCCTTCCAAATAAACAACTAAATCTTAAAAGAGAAAGAGAAATTAGGAAGCACCCATTGGTGTGAACCCGCAGGGGCTGAGGGAAGGAGACGTGGCTGTGCAGACAGAGACGAGAAAAGGACGGGACAAGGGGCCAGGCAGGCGGGAGAGAGAGGGAGGTGGGAGGTGGGAGGTGGGAGGGAGTGGGAGGCCCTGGTGGGAGAGACGGGAAAGGCAGGGGTCTCCAGAAGAGAGGTGGGGGGAGGAACAGGAAGGGAGGGGCGTGGGTGGCTGGGCACAGCATCTCCCCTTCAAAATCCGCGCAAGCCGCTCCTTGATGCTGGCGCTGCATTCCGGTAGCTTCCGCCAGGCTGGGAAGGGCTTCGCTTGGTCCACAAAGGTTTTCCAGCAGTGCCGGAACTCTGAGATGGAGCAGGGAGGCCAGTGAGGCCTGTGGGGTGGGAGCCGCGGCGGGGGGGCCTTCCCTTCCCCTCGCCCCTCCCCAGGGCTCCCCCCCCCAATTCTCCCCTCCAGGTGGAGTCACACATCTTGGGCCCCAGCCCCCAGAGGCTCCGCCCTCCTGGACCTGCGAGCCCAGCCCTGCCTCCTACCCGGGAGGCCCATGACGGTCACTGGGATGTGGGCCTTGCACAGCAGGTACAGCCCCTGCTGGAAGTTCCTGAGCCAGTGGAAGTACAGGCGGGAGGTGAAGATTTGCAGGCGCAGGTTGCAGTGGCTGCCGGCGAAGTCCAGCAGCTTCCGCGCGCACAGCGGGCAGGGGCTCTGGGAGAGGGAGCAGGTGAGCTGGTAGCTCTGGGCGGGGTCCAGCCCCATGGCCTGGATCGTGTCAACAAGGCACACTTCTACGTGACGACCTTTCTGGAGAGGGTCCAGAGAGGGAGGGAGGGAGGTGTGGACGGCAGAGGCTAGAGGGCTTGTGGCTGGAGGCGGGGCTGGGGACGAGGGGCTCCCCTGCCCCACTCGCTCAGTTTCCCCAAAGCACCCACAGCTTTGTTCGAATTGGGCGAGGGTCCCGGAGCCCAGAGGGGAGGGCGTGCCAGTGCCCGCCCTGCCTGGTGGCCGCCTGCGCCCGCCCCGCACACACCTGGTTGCACAGGTAGCCTCTGTGGAGCGGGGACCCGGTGGGCGTGGCCAGCTGGTAGCACAGGTAAGGCCGCCTGCGTCGGTGGGGCTTCGGCACCCGGCGCTGGTTGTTGAACTGGAAGCAGAAGGTTTCTTCCTCGAGCAGACCCTTGGCGCCCCTGTGCAGCAGGGAGACAACAGAGAGGCAGAGCGCACTGCCTGCGGTCACCCAGCCTCCTCTTCGGGCAGGGAAGGGAGGAGGGCAGGCAGGGAGAAGGGGGCAGGACGGGGGTCTGGCCGCGGGGAGGCCCTGCACCTGTCGCTGCCCTACTGTCATTGTCAGTGTCACCTCCCTGAGAACTGTGGGTATGCCCTTCCCTTGCACAACTGCACGTCCCACCTGGGCCCAGGCCCTCCGTGCAGCTGGCAGCTGTGGGGTTCCCACAGGCGCCTCCACAGGTCCAGTCAGAACTTGCCTCTCTGGGGAGCGAGGTGATGGAGACTCGGGTGTGCTCCGACTCTGTGACTGTGCCCCAGGCAGTGAAGGGAAAAGCCTGCGACAGAGACTTTGCCTGAAGGGCTCACCTGGTTTTCACCCTTCCCAGCTGTCATTACAACCTGCAGAGTATCCAATTGTTGTCTTGCTTTGTATTGCTTTAAAGCTTTATGTACTTAATTTCATTTTATTTGAAAGGCAGAGAGAGAGACAGAGAGAGAGAGAGAGAGAGATAGCCAAAGCCAGGAGCCCAAACTCTACCCAGGTCTCCCACATGGGTGATAGGGACGCAAGCCCCGGGGCCATCAGTGCCGCCTCCCAGGAAGCTGGACGGGAAGCAGAATTGGGGCCTGAGCCAGGCACTGTGAGGGGGTGTGGCAGTCATCCCCATTAGCGTCTTTGGCGCTGTGCCCAATGCCTGTCCCTATCTTGCTTTTTTAATTATTTTATTTTATTTTATTTTATTTTTTTGCCAGGCAGTTAGACAGTGAGAGAGAGACAGAGAGAGAGAGAGAGTTATAGACAGTGAGAGAGAGAGAGACAGAGAGAAAGGTCTTCCTGCTGTTGGTTCACCCTCCAAATGGCTGCCACTGCTGGTGCGCTGTGCCATCCAAAGCCAGGAGCCAGGTGCTTCTCCTGGTCTCCCATGCGGGTGCAGGGCCCAAGCACTTGGGCCATCCTCCACTGCACTCCCAGGCCACAGCAGAGAGCTGGACTGGAAGAGGAGCAACTGGGACAGAATCGGCGCCCCAACCAGGACTAGAACCTGGTGTGCCGGCGCCGCAGGTGGAGGATTAGCCAAGTGAGCTGTGGCACCGGCCCCCTATCTTGCTTTTTAAATGAAATTAATATTATGTGGCAAAATGACCTGGCAAAGGTGGGCTTGCAGAACCATTGGGTTTTTGGACATTATTTGAGAGACCCACAGAGCTCCCCTGTGCTGGTTCATTCACTCCCCAGATGCCTGCAAAGGCCTTGGCTGGGCCAGACCAAAGGTGACAGCCAGGAGTCCTCAATCGTGGTCTCCACATGAGTGGCAGAGACCCAGCTCGCTGCCCCCGGGGTCTGCACCCGCAGGAAGCTGGAAGCAGGGGCCCGGGCTGTGGCTGGGAGTCAGGCACTGCTCTATGGGACACGTACACCTCAACCACCTGGCCAAACGCTTGCTCTGCCCCATTGCATCCTGCTGGCTTCGCACAGAGAGCAGGAGACGGACAGAACTGGGCGCTTCGCTGCTCCCACAAGCAGTCGCTTAGGCACCCTGGGGCTGGAGCTCTGAGGCTCATGGGCAGGCTCAATGGTCTTTTACTTTTAAAGATTTATTTATGGCCGGCGCCGCGGCTCACTAGGCTAATCCTCCGCCTGCAGTGCTGGCACCCCGGGTTCTAGTCCCGGTTGGGGCACCGGATTCTGTTGCCCCTCTTCCAGTCCAGCTTTCTGCTGTGGCCCGGGAGTGCAGTGGAGGGTGGCCCAAGTGCTTGGGCCCTGCACCCGCATGGGAGACCAGGAGGAAGCACCTGGCTCCTGGCTTCGGATCAGCACAGCGCCAGCAGTTTCGGCCATTTGGGGGTGAACCAATGGAAGAAAGACCTTTCTCTCTGTCTCACTGTCTAACTCTGCCTGTCAAAAAAA